GCACCCATATGATGCTCATTTAGTAAGGAGGGAGACAAATTTGTGTTCATCTCAACTCCAAATATATTGATCAGGAAAATAAATCACTTGTGATTTTCACGGTTATGCAATAAACTCTGTGTGTGTGTGTGTGTGTGTGTGTGCGCGCGCGCGCACATGTATATGTGTACCAGGGCTTGAAATCAGGGCCTCCAGCTCACACTTGGCTTTCTTAGTCACAGCTGGCTCTCTACCGCTTGAGCTGCACTTCCAGTCTAAATATTGCTGGTTAATGGCCTCACGCTGAGACCCTTCAGGTCTCAGCCTCCTAAGTAGCTAGGATTTATAGGCATAAGACATGGGTGTCTGGCTTGTTTTCTTACCCATTTTTTAAATTGGCATCCATCAGTTGTACAAGGGCATATCATTTTGATATGTTCATATATGCATAAAGTGAAACTTGATCAGACTCATCCTCTCCATCACTCCCCTGCTTCCCTTCTTCCTAAACCAACCTCAAGCCTTTTCCATTTCCACACATGTATATATTTTGACCATATTCACCCTTCTTACCACCAGTACACACCCCCTAGACAGGGGTGTGACACCTGTTAAGAAGTTCAACAGCACTAACCCTGCAGTAACCTGTGATGCCTACTAGCTCCAATCTGCTGGTGATATTGTAGGTTCCTTTAGCACCTCTTAGCTCAGACCCAGAGCAGAATCCCTCCACATTTTAGGGCTCTCCAGGACCTCATCAGAAAATCCAGAGGGAATTTTCCCCTTGATGTGCCTAAGCTCAGACCAGTCATACAGGAAACCATTACTCTGTGTTAGGAAAAAAATGTCATGGTAGTATGTGCTTAAAGGAACCATGTCCCATGGGATCCTCTTGGAGAACATGTATTCAGAGAGCAAAGACCTAGCTACATATAGCTGAGTCAACGTATGCATAAACAATTTACAAATTTAACCTACTGTTGCTTAATAAGGGCAGAGAAAAATGACCAAGACAATTTATAAACTCTTCAAGCTAAGAAGGGTGAGAACATTTATGATATGGCAAGCTTTAGAGAGCCAACATTTCAGTGGTTTTCTTCCCAAGCTAGACATTTATTTCATTCGTCCATTAATCCAACAAATGATGTGGCTGGTGATATGGAGATGAATGACATGCTTTCTACCCTTAAAGAACTCAGTGTATTAACACAACATATTTAGATCATTGTGACGTTGACGTGGTCTCAAGAGAAAGTGCATTAGATTTTATGAGTCTGTTTGGCAAGAGTATCCAGCACAGTTGGTGAGTAGGGAATGGGAGGAAATGTCAGAGAAGCCAGCCTGGAGGAAGTTTCATTTGATTTTTTTTTTTTTGAAGAGTTGGGATTGGTGTGTGGGAGTGTTGGGGTAAGAATGACAAGGGGACAGTAGGTGCAGAGGACAGCTTCAACTATGATGCCCAGGCAGAGCTCGGTTGTTCAGGAATCCATTATCTCTGCATTTTCTGTGTGGTAGGTGTTGACATTGTGGCTGTGAGCTTGTGTTCTGGTAAGATCGCCATTTGAAGTCATTCTTGGGTCTCTGCAGAAACGTCAGATAGGTGGGTAGAGGTGTGGGCCCACAAGGTCAGGTTGAGAAACTGGGCATCTACATTTGGTCATCACTTGGTACATTTGTGGCATTACAAGCATTTACAGATGAGAATGCTCTGGACAGGGGACGGGGCAATGGGAGGAACCAGCGAAGGAAATGGAAACAGGTCGCAAGTGTGGGGGAAACTGATGAATCGGGAGGTGCAGACGTTTCTTGTGGAAGAAATGTCAAAACTTGACTTTTACAGGTGAACTGTGCTTGGATGAGGAATATGGGGTTGAGGGCGGGGTGCACCTGACGCGTCGCCCTCCTGGTCACTGAACGCCTCCATTGCTGCATTCCGCCTCTAGGTCAGAATTCTGGATGTTTCTGCAGGAGCACCGTGGTGCTGTGGGGCTGAGGAATCGAACCCGGGGCTGTACAGACACAGCGGCTGCGTGGTGGGAGCCTCTTTGAGGGGCCTGCCCATCTCCCCCGGGTCCCCTAAATTCTACCACCGAGGCTTTTTGTGCTGGCGCTGGGGATGGAACGCAGAGCCTCCCCGGCTCGCTCGGCTTCTTGGCTCAGTGCTCTACCACTTGAGCCACAGCTCCGCTTCCGGGCTTTGTTTCGCTGGTTTACTGGAGACTGGAGTCTCAGGGACTTTCCTGCTCGGACTGGCTTCGAACCGCGGTCCTCGCGTCTCCGCCTCCGCCGAGGGGGTCCTCACCGTGGACGCCAGCTCTTGACACCCTCCCCCCCACTGATTGTCACCACCGCCCGCGGGCCGGCCGGGCCACCTCCGGGTGGGGTCCGGGCCACCATAGGCTCGGCTGGCCTCCGGCCCCCGGCCATGGCTTCGGCCCCAGGAACCTTCTAGACGGTCACCTAATTCACCCAGATGGAACCGGCCCTGCGGGGGCCCCGCGGGCTCCGTGGATCTCCGCGGCCAGGCAGCCGGGACACGGCGATTCCAGAGGCCCCGGGCCCACCCTGGGCAAGCGGCCAGACGGGGACTTGGGAGGGCGGGCACGTTCACCGGACAGCGGAGGCCGCCCAGCAGTCCCGGCACTGCCGGCGTGAGGGCCACTCGGGACCGGCCGCGGCCCACACCGGTCGACCGGGGAGCGGAGGCACCGCCACCGGACGGAGGACGGGGGGG